ATTTCAAAACCGTTTAGCTTAGTTTTTAATTTTATTTGACTAAAACGCCACACATTTGTAAGTTAAAAAAAAATTACCTTAAGCCTTACAAATCCCACAAATGACGTAATCGAAAACTGCATAGACGTCTCTCGTGTGAAGAAAACTAGTTAAAATTCCAAACATAAATCGTCTGCTTGTAGGTGTGTTGATTTCAACAATGCGTGTTCAATAATGCATTCCCTTGGCAAGTGCGATGCATTGTTGGGTGCACCATTCATTCACACGCAAGTACGCACACACTCACACAATACACACACGGAGACAAACCGCAGACTAAGAAGATTAAATGAAATCGGATATAGTTAAAACCCTGAAACTGCCCTACGCGATTAGTATCGAAACGCTATTAATTAATCATCGTTATTGGCTAAGTAAGAGCATTACAGCTTGTGTGCAATCTGTATAGGAAATCAGCTGGAATTGTTAACGGAATTAATCAGCTGATTGTAATCGACATTAAAATGCCCCTCTATGTATATCGCTCCCACTTTTAAATATTGCATATTTGGACATTTAAGATTGCTCATATATTCCAAATTACTTTCAATCAAGCATTTCTTCGTCTATTTTCCACTGCAAGTTGTAAATTCTACTCCCTGGATACCTACGGTGTTATGGTGACTGTCTCCAAATCAAAGTCTGTTAGTTCGATCCTAAACATTGCCATTTATAATTGGGTTATCATGATGGTTTATAACATCGTTGAATAGTATATGAGACCTGGGTTTGGACCGTTCCCTTACAAAAAGTCTTAAACGTGGTAAGATGGTAGGTTACAGTATTTTGGCAATATAATCAGAAATTAAAATAATTCTAAAGATCTGTTAGCTTTATGAAGCATAACAGTTTTTTGAGTTTTTTTTTTCAATCTGTATTGAGTGATTTTCATTGGCTTTGAAACACACAGAATCATACTGTACATACAAATAAAATATTAACAAATGAAGTTACAGTTAGTGGTGATTGCTGATTGAAGCTAGAAATAAACAAACAAATATTATACCTATATGATTTTAACAAATCCTGCAAATTACAGTAGTATTTCATAAAATAATACTACTTTGTCTAAATTTTACACTTAACGTTTACTATTTACATATTGCTATTTACAAAATCGATAGTAATTAAATTATTCTACACAAAACTAAATTTTATGAAAGTATTACCTTAACAAATTGATTTCCAAATAATCTCAAATTGGCAAGTTTAATAACACTAATGGTTTGGTAAAATCCACGATATTTTTGGAAAAGAATGAAAAACGATGTAAACAAACTTCCGTCGTAGAATCAATAGAAAAATATATATTTAACCTCTGGCGCCGTCCCCTCGCCCTTACTTTTCAAAGCACCCCATCTGAGTTAAGTAAAAGCAGCAGCGCGAAAAACTTCCAATAAAGTTGACAAAGGAAGGAAATAACAAGTTAATTTCAGGAATATTACGAGACTGTAAAACTCAAAGTTTACACTTTACGAAAAGTCCACCAAAGATACGCTTATTGGGCTTTTTAATTTTAGAAGGATAATTTGTTTTTAAGGTTTTTAAGGATTGTTAACTTTTTCGTTTTAATTTTTGATTTTGGCAAAACTATCTAGTAAGTTTCTAGTAGGAAAAACAAGCAGTGGTAGGGTTAGTTTTTCTTACATAAATTATTTTAGTGATTTTATTGCTATGGCGTGGAATATATGAGAGGGGTAGAAAACTTTAACTTTTTGTCGACATGAAAGATGAGGATCAGACACTGTTATTTCGCAAGGCTATATATTTTGCTTATAATATGGAGACCTCCTTTTGCTATACCATTTGATTAAATCAGATGTCTACAATCCAGCAAACAGCGAATATTTGCATAACAATGATTGTTTATGGTCTAGCTTTTAAATCTCTATGTTGACACCTATTCATGTTAACACTTAAAAATAATGATTTTTGTTCATGTACTTTTTTTACGCTTCAAAGATTATATGTTTTAAATGCATTTCTTTCCAGAAGTAATCCATAGAGAAATATTATCTAATCCACGCTTCCACCCACAGACTGCATGTAGGTATTGTTTTGAATCCTACACTCAAGGCCAAACCATACTGGGCCAAGGTAGGCTGATGTCATTGCTTTTAGCATTTAGTGAATATTTTAGAGGACATTGTTTCGAAAGCTAGGTGTTTGTAACTGTTTACTCCGGATACTACAAGCATTGAGTATACACGTACTCAATGCTTGTATTAAACTATTGATAACAATTGATTACGTGTATACTCAATGCTAGTGATGTAAAATACCCGGGTATTTAAAACTCGGGGTAAATACCCTGGGTATTTACCCGGGTAAATACCCAAAATCCATAAATACCCAGGTATTTTGGGTATTTATGAAATTCATTTATATTTACCCCTAATGTTATTGTTATCATTACATGATAAATTAGGATGGTCTGTAACACCTTTTACAGTAACTTGAAGCTTTGCTAGTACCTTTTATTTAATGATTTAGCACTTTAAAAAAATAATAGGCCTACATAAAGTTTCTAAATAAGCATGGGGTTTCGTGTCTTAAATCAAGTAACATCAGTTAAATTTAACTTAGGCCTACTATAATACAAAAAAATAGTATATTAATAAAGGCTGTGGCTATTTTAATTTATAACCAATTAAATAAAAAATTATTTTAATTTATAATTTATAAATATCCAGGAATTGTTGGGTATTTATGTTGCAATAAAAACAGTTGAACTTGCCATGAATAGTTTTATTAGCAATAAATGATTGTGTATAACATTTTAGAATACTCCAAAAGAGTTAAAACACTTTATAATGTTATTGTTAATAAATGTTTTTCAAATTACCTTAAAATGTTATTATGTACAAAGTTGTAAAAAAAAACTTGTTACAAGTTACAACCACTGTGCTGAAAAACTATAAAGAAGAACATGGCTTATAAGAGAAAGTAAAGGCAGAATAATAAAGTAATTAAACTTTTCTGTGTTACCGTTTGGTTAGAAACAATAATATATTTGGGTAAACCTACTAAAATGTATCTCCTGTTTTTTGGTCTAACTTAATATAGTTTTGAAAGATTTATTGTGCTATAGATTCAAATGTTTTGTATCACAAGATTATGAAATTAGTTTTTTTTATACCATTGATAGTATTGATACCAACAAAAGATCTAGAACAAAAATATTACTAAACCCTGCCATCCTACAGATTGAATTTTAATTATTTTCTTAAGTTGTTTATACATAGGCCACTACTAGGTAAAATTTCCCTGTCTTTCTAAATAATAATTATTGCTTTACAAGTTATTTTTCTTCACTTTCAATAAAATAAATTCATCTATCATTGAAATAAAAAAAATCATAAGTAGTCAGGACCAGTGCAACCATGCGACCAGGGTATTTATGCCGATTTATGCTTTATGCTCAGACCTGGGTATTTATGGCGAGAAGTAAAATACTAGTAGTGACCATATGAAATTTTGTTTAACACATTTTATCATCATTTTACTATTCTCACAGGGTAATAATTGCAATAAAACATCTCAATCTTCTCTAACTTTAATAAAAATTATAAATACCCAGTTTTTGGGTATTTACCCGGGCCTGGGGTAAATACCCGGGTAAAAACCCAATTTATATTTACCTACCCACTGGGTATTTACCCGGCCCACATCACTACTCAATGCTACAAGTAAGCTTTTCGTCGTATTGTAAAATCTGATGTCTGCTTAGGTGCGTTTTTCATTCATTATAGTTCACTAGGTTATGGACAAAATTGGGATACAAAAAAATCCGTAGCTTAAACCATGTAGAGGTGTGCAGAGTTTGGTTTTCCTTGTGTAACTTATTAAAAAGTTAATAGTTGTCTATACTTTTTCCCAACCCTGTATAATGCTTGAAGTCGCCGATATAAATACAATATTTCTCAGTTTTAGGACTAAATTTATGTTGTGCATTTTACCATTTGGTTACCGTCTAGTATCGGTCAAATTATATTCTGTCTTTTTGTTTTGTACAAAATAGTTTGAAAGATGATTAAACAAACTTTTAGTTTCTCTTACGGTAATACTGGGTTTAGTTGTTCTAGTTTAACCCTTTATAAAAACATTTCTGGAGATATGTATGTATATTTTTAGGTTGGGTCCCTCAGGCTGATGATATATTAAACTTGCCACCATTTTGTGATGGGTTGTGATGTAGACCTCTAGTTTTTGTCGATATTCTTTTTAACTGATGACCTTTTAAATTAATTGTCACTTGAAAGGGCTTTACATTTACAATTTATGAGCTCCCCCCTAAATAATAAGGTATCCGAACAAAATTGGAACAAAAAAATCTGTAGCTTATACCATATAGAGGTGTGCAGAGTTTGGTTTTCCTTGTGTAACTTATTAAAAAGTTAATAGGCGTCTATACTGTTTCCCAACCCTGAATAAATTCCTGTGTTACCCACTAATTCAATGATCTATAGTATATATTAATAGGCAAGTATGTTTCTTTAAAACATTTTTTCTCAGCTCGTGTGCATCGCAGGGGAAATCTACGCTTACTATTAGAAAGTTATTTTCCTGTAGATGTGCAGAATCCCTTTATAAATTAAAAAGGCTAACAAATAAGCACAAAAAATGTATTTAAAATAATAAAAACTAACATAGGTACTAACATAGGCCTTATGAGTTGCCATGCTGGTGACGAAATAACAACGATCAATAAACAGAAAATCAAAACAAATATAAGACTGCTACACAATCATCACATGTATCATTTACAGCGTGGGGTGAAGAGAAGTATGTACATTACATTATCTTTGGTCGAGCTTTCGACCACCGGACAACCTCTAGTTAAGATAATTCCATGAATTTATTGTATCAAGCTTGTGGGTGTTCTGCTACATTGTTAAAATATTGTGTTGTATACTTTCATTTTTTAATGAGCTTAATATAATTTTGTCTTCGATTTCCAGGGACCCGCAAGAAAGACAAGCCTGAACGGCACAGCGTCGCCGTGGACACTGGGCGACTTGTGAACCAAGGAGGAGAGTAAGTATCGCATTGTGTGTGTCTATCAGTTAGTAGGCCTACAGGTCAATATTACTGGAAATACCAACTGTCAAATTGCTAGTCACCACCAGATTACAATGATATATTTGTGAGACTTAACAACAATGGAGGAAATGGTTGCAGAAATGCGTCATCATTTTCCGGAGATTTTTTTCCAGAAATATGCTATTTCAGAATTCTAGACGCCGCTGTGATAAAATAAAAGACAATTTGTATCAATATCAAGCTAGGAAATAAATGTTCCTCTCCATTCTATGACATTCGGAGCCTTCTGACATCGGAGTACTCAATTGAACTTTGTCCACTAATTAAACTAATTTATTAATGCGCGTATTTATAATTTTCAAATTAGTGTCCGGTACTTTTAATGGTTATAGCATATATTTTAACAAACTAACAGTCTATTAAGGTATGAGGAAAATGATATAAATTGTTTTTGACAGGTACCGGTGATTTGAAGTTCAATAGTGAAATTAGAATTTCAAACGTTAACAATAGTTGTGCTCAGCATTATTTTTAATTTTCTTTTAGATCTAAAACTTTTTTTTATTTTTATCCACCAACAGTGATTATTACAATTAATATGAGCAACCGTTATAACAGTTCAAAGTTCACTTTTATAAAAAAAATTTGATCACTCACTGTACGAACGAGCCTCATATTAAATCTATGTATGATGAAACATGGTTGGCCAAAACTATTTATATTTATAACAAGTTCTTAATGTGGTAATTTTGATGTTAATAAAATTTCTGAAATCTGAAAATATTGAATTCGTAGCCCTAAGCAGTAAGCAAAGACAATAAATTAGTCTGTGCCTCTGTGCTCTTTAGAAGGGCACTGGCACTACTATAATGTCTGTCGGTAATGCAGTTCGTAGTTCACAAAGGCACTCATAGGTGGCGCCACCACACACTTATATGCTTTTGTGCTTTAAGTCTTCCAATTCGTAAAAATAAATAGCTAACAGGCCTTTTTATTCCATTATAGACTTATATTCCGTTGTATAACATATGTAAAAAAATGTAGTTAATTAATTACAAACCGTTGACAAGAACCACAAGTTATGCTGAAGATTTATATACGGTACCTTTCTCCGTTGCATCTAATTGTTGATACTCAAAAGTTAGGTTCTCCACTAATTATACACCTTCCAACTGAAAAACTAAAATCAAACCAATCAAGAATCAAAGATAGATTACATAGATTGGTTATAAGATAATCACAGGCTAAATGCATGCTGATAGGTTTGTAGCAGTTAACGATGCTGAATTAGCATCGTCAAGCATGAATAAATCAGCTGTTCAGAACCAGCTGTATAATTTGGCCCTACTTCAGCTACCGGTAGCAATAGCTGATTGTGTAAATACTTAGTGATTATATGTCTGCTAAACCTGGATCAAACAAATCAGATAGAACGATTGGTAATAAGTCAGATAATATTTCAGTTTGCGCATTTTCTAGTTAATTTTGAATGATAGTTTTCTTACTTTAAACGCCTATTTTACAACCTAACTCCCGAATTCACATTTACGCCTTTTTTTTAAGAGGTGATAAGGAAATCAGTCATTATTCTTAGAATAAGTGTAGATGACTCTAATCATTGACTATGCTCTAATGCACGAGACATATTTAAAATACCTAACTTATTGTTGTGGTATAAAACGGTTTTGTTTCATAGTTAACACTTTACGCGGAGCAAAATACAACTTAAGTGTAACCAACAAAGAACATATTTTGTGCCTGTTTGGAAGAAATATATTGTCTTTATAGTATTTTTTTTCTTTCTGGCCGGCCATACTCGTTACGGTATACCGGACCGTGTGTGTGAACCTGTTCAGGCAAACCTGGACAGGTAAAATCAAATATGAATTTTCATATTTTATACCGCACAGGTTTGCTCACATGAGTATGTGTATGCCGGGCCGGGCATACACGTTACAGTATACCTGTGAGGTATAAATGCGCTTTGAGGTATAAACCTTTATAAGCCTATAAACAATTGACTTCCAAAACTTTTTTTTTTTAAGTAAATACACTTATTAATAAACGTATTTTTAAAATATAAATCCATATAGGTCTACGTATAGTATTTTCATGAGTACATCGGCATCACTTGTAACCATCCTTAGTAGTCCAAATAAGTGTTCACAGTTTGAGTTTACAAAAACGGACTGTTATCATGTTGAATGGTACGGTTAAATTTTGTTTCTAAATTAAATGGAGAATGAAAAACCATTTTACGGTATTTTCAATAAACCAAAATTGTCTCTTCTGCATCTTGCAAGATACGGGACTGGGTAGAGGCATAGCGGAGCGGCTGTAGGATAAAGAAGTTTAAACCACAGATAACGCCCCTGGCGGATTATTGGAGAACTACAACCATACAACTCCATCGGTCGCCGCTAGATGGCAGTAAAGTGTAATTATTTTAGAAACGTTGACATTATTGTTGAAATATGTTTCAATACCTCGTACTTATTAGGAATCCGTTTTTAGAAACGTTTAATACTTTTGGGAATAATCTTTCGATACTTAAATGTGGTTTTTTATGTGTCTGGGATATTTTATTTCTGTCTAACTATAAATTTAACAATTGGTTCTCACACCTATTTTTAGTGTTTGCTATCATTATATACTCGTAGATGTGGAAAAGAATTACACTTACAATATTTTTTGTAATAAAATTTGGAATTTTCCGTACACTCACGCAAGAGGAATCGTGTGTAGTGTTATTTTTGGAAGCCTCTAAATAGAGGCTCAAATATAAAGTAATTGTAGAATTGTATGTAACATCTGTAAAACCAGATGGAAACGGCGTAGGTAGACTTCGGCCAGCGATGGTATAGTAGCATACAACAATAGAAACAAACCGCGTTACAATGTAAACCAAATTAGGTGACATAACTCGATGCTTGGCAGTTATCTAGTTTTGTCATTTTTTTATTGCCGTCCATGCTCTTAGGTCTTTTACAGGTTTGCTAAAATTTATCCAGAGTCCAGAATTTTCCCCGAAACAGCTTCTTACTTCTTACTGTTCTATTTTGTTAGTCTATACAGCTGTTAATATTTTAAAATTCAAAAAATGGTTCCGCACTCTGTTGTTAAACCTTTAAACATAATAATGACATGGAACATAATAGAAAACAACTTATTTGTTGAAAAGGCTCTAAAGATTCTTCGATTCTTTGTAAATAAATATGAGGGATTATAAAAATATGAAGGAGCTGCTATAACCGGGCATTGCAAAAGAAGGGAGTGTGCGAAAGAGAATAATGCTTTTCTTTTAATTTGAGTTGTGATAAAAAAAAACCTTTATTGACCACCAAGAGTTGAATGACCGTCCTGAGATACGTAAACCAGTATATAGAAAAACTCTCCATGTAAAAGCAATGGTGATTGTTAGATTTTCAGATATAAGCGAGTTCATGTAAATTCAATACTTTACAAGAAAATGGACAAAGTATACTTCGTGTTCGGAAGTATTGTTATAACTAATAGTAACATAATCGATTATTTAAAATAGGTATATTTTTTATTTTCAGCCCAAACTACAACTAACGCCCCTCGTGGAATATTAAACTACTACAAATTTACTCATCCCTATAACCCTACCATTACTTTTGCGTGATTAGATTAAATTGTTGTCAAACGATTTTGAATACGTCATTTTTTATGAAATTGTAAGTTTAATGCTTTTTGGAAGAGTGTTTCAACCCGAAAACGCTGTTTTCGGACTTTTATGGGATATGTTATTTGTTATACACATAACTTCGAATGTAAACATTGATTCTCGCACATATTTTACTGTTTGACATCATACATGCTTAATCATCATCATACGTGTGAGGTTTCGGGTCTCTGGATTAGTGTTAACTCTACCTTCAGTCTTAAAAACAAATTTGCTTATTAGATTTATTTATTTTTACACATTTAAATAATTTGGACTTTAACTTAATTTTTATCACAATCACATTTTCTTAATTAAATATAATCTTTCGTTTAGACTACCATGTTTTAAAATAGTATTTAAATCACTGCACGAAAGATCCTGCTTTTAATTTCCAGTAATGCAGAATGTAGTTCAGAATGTCACTACCAGAAAGCGCTAGCTCGTAGGCAACAACAATGACAATAATAGAATCGTACTTAATTGTTGTATTTGAAATTAAAAACATTTCATTTGTAACAGAGTCAAGGCGAAATATAATCAAATACTGAATAAACATTATGCTACTTTATTATTATTGGGGGAAATCAACATTTTTTTCTAGCAAGCATTTTATTATATCGACGATTACAAATACCTCATAAAATGTATAGGTGAATAGTGTTTCAATAATTGAGTGTATTCAACTAATCCAGTTTAGTTAATGCACTGCTGAAAATACTGCATTATTTCCGTACCAAGTTTTTTCTTGCAAAATCTGTACCCAAAAACTATTACTTTTGAAAAGCTAAATGTGTCCAACATAACTTTATTGCCACACTTTATGATAAGCTCTTAACAGGATGTTTTTCCCAAATAAGTAAGCCATAGCAGGAGTTTACACAGCATTACCAAAATCAATGTTACTTTATACAGAAGATCTCACTTTTAAAATAACTGTTTACAAATAATACTACTCCTCTTACCACCTGTTAGAACAAAAAAATATCACATGCATCGATTCAAAAGATTTTTCCCCTTCACACAATGAAATACTCCCACAAGACTATCGTCCTTTGGTTGAGAACAATGGCTAAAGAACAGAAGAGGGTCCCAATCCCTAAAGTAAGGGGAGAAATCATGAATCACCATCAAAGCACTGTTTTAAGTCTGATTCAAATATCCCCTCCCTCCCAACACTACTACTCGCGGCAACAATATGAGCAACAATGAACTGCTTGTCATGCGCGCGCACACTTATCGACCGTCTGCAGGGATGCACCCGCGGGGAAATGTCCCCTGCAACGGGAAATTGTATTGCTCTGATTTG